TAAGGAGCTTATCACATGGCTTATTAAAGCGTCTTACCTCTCCCAACTTAAATTTTAATTCGGGTGGCATTCTGATACAATTGCACGTGGGTCCATGCCCACTCCCAGGAGCTCTCCAGCAACCATTTTCTTAAGCTGCAAAACTCTTGGCTCCGAAAAGAGGTGTGCTGAGCACCCCTAGGAGCGGGGATGGAGCCACGTTTTATTCGGGCGGTAGATTCGGTGGCAAAATCACTGCAATAGTATCAGGATGCTGCCCAAATTAAAATTTAAGTCGGGAGAGGTAAGACGCTTTAATAAGCCATGTGATAAGCTCCTAACATGGCTATCCCTTTGAAACGTGTGTAAGGTTATAGCTCTGTTATCACAGGGATACCAAATACAGTTGGGTCGCCATATTCATGGATTTTGTATCCACAGATTCAACCATCCATGGCTTGAAAATATTCACCAAAAAAAAAAAAAAAAACAATCCAAAAAGGGAAACCTTGATTTTGCCATTTTAGATAAGGGACATCATTTTATGTGGTTATTGTATATAATGGGACTTCAGCTTCCATGGATTTTGCTATCCATAGGGCTTTCCTGAAACCAAACCCCAGCAGATACCAAGGCTCTACTGTATCTTTTCCCAGAAAAATCACATATTTTATCAGTCAGAAAACTACAGGAGGGTTCTCCATTTTCCATCAGAAGACTAATATCTATTCACCTTTGCTCTCTCATCTTTTAAGATGGAAGTGGGGAACATTTGGCCTTCCACAAGTTTTAGACTTCAACATCTGGAAGCCTCACCCCATAGGGGATTATGGGATAGTCTCAAACAACTAGAGGACCAAAGGTTCTGCATAAATGCTCAAAGCCCTTAGAGATCCAATTTACACACATAGGACTCGTGGCACATCAATCAGTAGATATCAAGAGAGAGAAATATTTCTCTGGGTGTATCCACACTGCAGAAATAATGCAGTTTGTCACCACTTTAACTGCCATGATGACTCTATCCTACAAAGCCCTGGGATCTGTACTCTGGTGAGGCACCAGAGCTCTCTGTCAGTCCAGGCTGAATATCTCACCAAACTACAAATCCCAGGATTTCACAGGATGGAGCCATGACAGTTAATGGTGTCAAACTGCTTTATTTCTGCAGCATGGATATAGCCTCTCTCTCTCTCTCTCTCTCTCTCTCCCTGCCATCCTGTCTTCTCTGTATTTTCCTGTCTTTCTGCCATCCTTTCTCCTTCTCTGTTTCTCATTCTGCCGCCCTTTCCTTCCCATCTGCCTGCTCTCTTGAGCACTGCATATTCTTCTGTCTCTCTATTCCTACTCCCTTCCTTCCTCCCTGTCTAATGTTTAAAATCTATTTTTAACTCATTATATGGTTTAATATGTTTTTAGCTTATTCAAACTATCTTACTGTTTTTGGCCAGTTTAACTTGTTTTAGTGCTATTGTAAACCACGCTGAAATCTTGTGATGTGTGTAGGGTGGGGTATAAATATTTTAATAAGTAAATAATAAATAATCAGCTGTCAGAGATATGAACTCACCACTTGTAAAAATCTTTGTAAATGAGGCAGCAGGCCTCAGCTTGCCTTCTCTCAACCAGAACTTTAGAGCCAGAACTCAATCCCTCCTAAGCTAGAATATCTTTTTCAAATGCACCCTACTTCCTGAAGGGAAACCTCAAACATTTCCACCATAGAATGGAAGGCCCAAGCAACTTATGGTGACCCTAAGGTGAATCTATTATGGAGTCTTCTGGGCAAGTTTCTTCTGAGAGGGTTGCTATTGCCATCCTCTAAGGCTGAGAGAGTGTGAGTTGCCCAAGGCCACCCAGTGAATTTACATGGCAAGCCAGGATTTGAACCTTGGTCTCCAGAGTCCTAGTTCAGCGCAAAACCACTACACTACACTGGCTCTCCTGCTTGGAAGACAGAGCTTGGAAGAAGGTTGTTAATTTTTCACTACAGTTCTTCCAATCCCCTACCCAACCTGGTTTTTCCAAGGAAGATGATATGATGATGAGAGTTTTATTTACTAATTGCGGATCATGTTGATCTGTTTGTCCATTTCATTGGGTCTAGGGAAGCCCCTGAACTAGTATCTAAATGGACTAGATAGAGATGTTGAAAAAGGATGTTGACAAGCTTCATAGTGGACCTTCCAAGTCCTAGATCAAGGGAAGTTATAGTGCCACTCTATTCTGCTTTGGTCAGGC